TTCTTTAGGTCAAGATTTTGGATGGAAAAGATGGCTGCCACCTAGCTTTAACCAGCATATTTTGCTGTTTTCATATTTTTTTAATATTCATGGGAGATCCATGTTGCTTGGGCAAGATCCACTGAGGATGGGAAAAGTGTTTTCCCGAAAGTTAACTCTGGTAAATTATTAATAAAAAATATTAAAACTTTTGTGGAGATTATTACCTTCACCATATTATAAGGTATGGTAGTTATCCAAATTGTCGTTCGTGCTCTAAGGGCAGGCAGTCGCTACTTACACGCAAGGTACGATGAGGGATAAAAGCAAAAATCTAGGTTGATTGGTCATTGCAAATAGTTATTTCCTTGGATCTAATTTTCCTTACCAATTCTTGCCAAAAATGCTTATTTCCATCTGTTTTCAAAATTCCACTTGTATATGGGTTAGGGTAGGCATACCTCAATTGAAGAAAACATGAACAGAATGCTCTTCTCCTTATAGTATATCATACACAGGTTTTAACTGTTATTGACGTTAAGGTGGTTAGAGCAAGATATTCCCTAGCAGATAGAGAGTTCATATTACATTCAAAAATATTTATTTGCGATGTAAGTGGTTATTGTAAGACCTACATAAACAAAATAGGGACTTTTATGCTGAGTTTTATTTAATTATTCAATTAATTTAGTTTCATAGATGTAAAATAAAAATATTTTAATACCATATAAAAAGCTACGATGACTAGTCTCTTAACTAGCACCTACATGATAGCATGGCTACGGAATGAAAAATTGAAGCATAAGATTGAACATAAAAAAACATTATTACACAATTAGTACGAGCAAAATCATAAAAAGTAACATTATAGACACATATCTACATATTTTTGTACAGTGATTTCTAATAATGGCAAAAATTTCCATGTTTAAGTGGGGGCGAAAAATCTTTAGTAAATTGGGCTACGCCATTATGTCCTTGAGATTGGCATGATTGCTCAGTGCTCCCGCTTCTTCTAAGTTTTGTTGTTTTGAATCACTTTGAATACTGTTTATTGCCTGGTCGACAAGCGGTAAATATCACAATCTGAGTGAATTTATGGAAGGTTTATTTCCATAGCGGAATTTGAGAGATAACAAAATTATTCCCCCAATATCACGAGAACAGTAACATAATAAAGTTTTCAAATATTTTTTCAATGTTTGTTTCTCTCTAATTCGTAATTCTTGAATTACCTGAGCCAATGGAAGGACAGACATTAGATTATTCGATTGCTTGACAACAAGATCAACAGTTTGGTTCTCTCCAACATTGTATAAAGCTTTATATTTAACGTGACAGAAATCGTAATCATTGACACCTACAGCGCCTTATTATCCTTCATATCGCAATATATTTTTTTTGTTTCCCCTATTTTATTTTTACTTAGTTAATTAAACTGCATGATCAATTTTTTACGTTTCAATAGTTTTGATTGAAATTTTAGAACTATTTTTGCAATTACAATGTGCCATATTATTTCCAACAGTGCAATTATATAATTAATAGAAACTATTAGCTGGTTTTTAGTATAATTTTATATCATGTTATGGTATTAATTTAGATCCAGATTATTGTGTAAAGTGTATATTAAACTATAGCTGATAAAATGAAATTACTGCATATAATTCTGAGAGCTGTATTATTGAGACCTTCATTAATAAAATTATAACATTGTTGACGATAAAATCTTCAAAAGAGATACCAAAGTGACATAGTTTTTTGTAATTGTTTGTCTTGATTTTTTGAATGATTTTTCACTGAAAATGAAAAGGTTTGAATGGTTTGAAAATAAGACATGAGAACCATTGAAAATGCATTACTACTATTCAGGAAATTCAAACAATTAGATAAAATATAGTGCTGAAGAGAAAAGGTGTTTCTATTAAATACTAAATCTACCAAAGGCTAAATATATAATTCTTCTTACAAGTTCAATAAAATGTAATAATTAAATTTGCCCATGGGCGGATTTAGATACTTTAGGCCTTAAAACACAAAACTATACTGGGCCTTCAAAACTAAAAAAAATAATTATGAATAAATCTAAAAAACACCAATTATGATAGAATAAATCATTGTTCCAATACAGATGGGAATTAACAGATTGTTTACGAAGTAGAATTGCTTTTTAAATTTCTCATTTACAAATATGTGTTTGGTTTCTTATTGTTGATTCAATTTATTTTTAAAATCAAACATTGTAGTCCAGTAAACTATTTGATTAATGATTATTCAGATAAAAACATGAAGATTTTATATTTATTTTCAAAAAAATCCGGGCACGGGATGGGAGACCCAAGCCTAACTTTGCTAGGAGGAAATCCAGTTCTGCTTTCACCTATACCTTGAATGGTTGATATTAACACCAGCAAAACAGTATTTTATCATTGCAACACATTTGAAGCCACTAAAAAGTCTTTCTGTATGAATTGAATGCCCACTCAGTAGCTCTACAGATTGAGGTGTTTATCTATGATAAAGATTGCTGCTTTGAGTTCTGTGTAAGCAACTGTTGTGCAAAAGGCAATTACAATATATAATAAGAAAGAGAATATGAATAACTTTCGAATAATTGAATAAATAATCATTGTTCAGGAGCAAAAAACGGCACAATACAAAATAATAATACTCTACTGAAGTTTAAAACGTTTATTAACTCTCAAGATCACCCATTTTCTCATAGGAAGTAGTATAAAAGTGAGTCATTGGGAATATTAATTGAATTAAAATTTTCATTCAAATCGTACTAATCATTATATCCATCAAATTGCAGTTTTTCTGAATATATGGTTACTACGAGTAAGCGCCCTGTACCAAGCGTCATTACAAAGGTGTACTACTTTGGGTCAAAATAAAGCAAAGCTCCTTTATACAATGAAGCACCAAATTTAATGACCAGGTCCCTGTAATAATTATTTTTCTGCCGAAAATTCGCCGCTTTTTGGGCAGCGTTACGTTACTTTCTCTTCTTAATAATTCCTTCTTCGGCGCGAGAAAGTAAAATCGAGTCACTTCACGAGCATTCCTGAGTCATTTAAAGAAAAAAGAAAAGGTTCTGATATTGCATTCTCATAAACCCAGCGTCATCTCTGTAAGATAGCACTATCTAAAACTAAAATAAAAAAATAGTGTTTAGCACAACACATTGATGCAAGTGTGATGCAATTGGTACATCACGTTATCTCGCGTGTACTTCAATCGTTCTTTAAAATGGAGACAACTTGGGTTTCTTAGTTTGGGGCATTGTGTCAAAATCGCATGAAAAGATTGTGCTGCATATTCGCCCAAAACCGGATATCAAGTTGTTTTAATTACATAAATGCAGAATCGTGGAGATATTGACATTTAAAATGAAACCACGTACACGAAGCATATCAAACCGCCCGCACGAGCTACTTGCCCGCCTGCGAAGCTGAACGCTCCTGCAAGGCATATCACTATATGATTACAGCGAAGTACATTTTAGGATATTTTTACATCTTTCGGAAGGTTTTGACATCACTGACCTTGAAGTTTTGGTTTTCATTTCACCTTCGTATTAGGAATGCGATATCGATGTCGATGTTTTGTGATCGATTTTTTTCTTTCCCGGTGCTTTGTCTCTGAATGAAAAATTCCCTTGACTACAATACTGTAAAAGTTAAATTATGAAATATCACAAATTATGGTAACATTGTTGGTCACGTGTTGAAAGCAAAGGAACGCTGTTTGTATTGTACTACCTTCATTGACCAAAGCCTCTCGCCCGAGATGACTTTCATGCCCTTTTATTTCGCCTTTCATCATATTCATTTCGCATATTGAGATGTCAACAAAATAGCTGTGGGCTGTCAGATCTACCCCCTTTTCTCGTTCGCTTATTCGGTGAATTGATAAACACACGCACTGCCAAATTTAATAGTTACACACGAATGTGATGTTAGAAGTTACTTAACCAGCTTGAAAAATATCTGTAGTTTTTAGTCGATGTATTATTAACATTGATGTTTTGTTATTGATGCCGCATCTCTACTTCATATGGAGTTCATGGCCCTAGAGTGGATATCTTCGCAACTTAATTACCTATCTAGAAATACCTTACTAGCACGAAACGATCCTCTCTATAATGTCTTCCGGTAAGTTTAATTATGGATTTTGACAATTTATAAGAAACCAGTTACATGTCAACGCCGGATAGCAAATTTCCACTACAAAGTGTTCTCTCCCGCCATCTAGCGGTAGCTGCATTCTCCATCTGGATACTTTGATTTATTTAGAGCTGCACTTGAAGTAAATCGGCTGTTGTTGGTTTGATCCATTGACGATTCTGCCATTGAATTCAGTGTATTCACGTTCTGCATAAATGAACCAACGATGCGTGATGCGTACTTTAGCGGTACATAAAATTAGTTAACGTTTACGCGAACCAACGGCGGCCGCCACAATCGCCGTCTGATATTAGGGCGTTGCAATAATGGGTTTCAACAAGACACTGATTCGTATGGCACGTGCAATTGCAAATCAGCATTTTTGATGCCGCAAGCAACAAAATGCAAATAGATAGAAATATATAATGAAATAAAGTTTTGCTACTTTCATCAAAACTACTCGCTTTTACACGAATTTCTCGTCAATCCCGCACCTTAATATGCAAGGCGAAATGATCCATTCGGTTTCATATGTAACAATTAAATGACGCAATTTTAAATACATTTAATACTTAAAATGATATTAATCTTTCTTTTCAAGATTTGAATAACTGCCTTCATGCACCTTTCAAATCACATTGCCATTGGAGTGACACCGCTTCAAACGAAGCGCGAGAAATTCGAATTTACCATTTCGATAACACAGAGTGCGTCGAAAATGGGACAACCACAACTTTCTTTACCGTTTTTTGCTACATAAATGAAAAAAATGGAGCCTTTTCTTACAAATTGATTCTTTAAAGTTTAAAATGAGTAAGTTTAACACAATATTAAGCAAAAAATACTCACATTTTCAAAAATTTGTACAAGATGTTATTTTAAGATTTTTTGACGAACACATTTCATTAAGAAAAAAATTATCTTCATAATTACACGGTGGAAAGAGATGGGATCAAGCACATCATATCCGACTTCAGACAAGTTCGAAGCACGTCTTCTGAAAATTTTGAAAATAGAGACCTTATATCGCTGTCTTCTTGAGGATGAGAGCATGTGGCTACCCACAACTGCTGAATTTTACTGAACACCTTTTCAAATGAAGTATCATTGCCCCCTGGGAGTTCAATAGTTGTTACTGGCCAAAAGACAGAGACTGTCCTCAACACTTAAGTAGTCATCTTTAACTATTATTCTTTGGGTATCAGTACTCTGAAGTGACTTCATCTGTTTATTATGGTTTGATGTATCCTGGACTCATGTACATTATTTAATAGTTTGATTACAAGGGAGCTAAGGATGTTATCTAACAACAAGAACTTATAAGAACTGCTAAAAAGAGATTATCTAATTAATTCTTGCAGGCTCCCCAATTGTCATGTAACAATTAGCATATGTGTTGTGCACAAAAGTATAATCACTTGGCAGTTTATTCCATTTATTATGCCACAAAGCACGTTCACAAACATTTTAATTTGTACTTCATTTTAATACTTGTGTTACCGTACATATTAATACAACACATAAATGTTAATGGAAGTGATTAACTCCATTTCACTGGCCACGTAACATCACACTATTCAATTATTCCATAGTTAAATAGAATCATTGACTTATTACGCTACTAAATATTGTTTATTTTGTCTGTCATTATCACAGTATAGGATTGCTAATCTCCCATTGCATAAATTGTTCTTTCAGCTAGCTGCATTATCTCCATTGTAGACATTTTCTAACAATCGAAGAATTTATGTTTGACCGTCTGTCAACTACTCACGCTCTTGCATATATGCTGCTTTTGCCTGTTTTTCTACAAAGTGGCTACCCTGTTTTCGATTTGAGTTAGCAGCGAATCTTTGGTGAAGTGAGTGAAAAAATAACAGGAATTCAAGATTAAAAGTGTGTTAGAAAATGAAATGTGGCTTGATGAATGAATGTATTACTTAATATTTGTTTTGTTTTCTGAATGTTTGACATAAATTCACATTGAGCTTTAATAAATGTTACCTTGAAGAAATAAAAAATATCAGAAACTTTTAAAAAGTATCAAAATATTTATTTTTTACCTAAACACTATTATCAGTTCGAGGAGGAGCTAAAGATTGATACAATTTGGTTACAGCAGTCTGAACTATTTGTTGAAATGTTTCATCCTCTTCACAAACAACATCCTAGAAAGGAAATAAATTTTAAAAAAGTGATATCAGTATAACACACATAGAATTAGCTCTTTTTGTTTAAAAATACAGTCTACTCTGTAAACAGTGAACTAAAGTCACTACCACATACATAACTAATAAGCACTAGATGATTTATAGTGAACCCTCAACATTGGTTGTAGAGAACATAGTAATTCAACTTCTGGTGGAAAAAATAATTTCTCTGTGAGTTAATATAACACCAAGGATTGCAGATGTGGGTTTTCATGAAATATTTTTGTTACAATTATGGTGAAAGAAAGGGAGTGTGACATTTGGAATTGCTTTACATCATCCATAGCCTGTTAGTATACCTACTAGCATACTAGCTGGTTATGCAATTATCAAAGGCACTTCTATCAAGCCAGAAGACAATCACAAGTTGACAACTAAAGAATTCGGATCTAGCTGGGACATTGTGAATGAAGTGAAAGGGTCCTCAAAACTGAAGAAACGTGTTATACCAAATAATAATCAAAAATGAAGACAGATTTTTAGGTATTTAGAGTGAACGTAACAGTGTACATTGTACAATGAAGTATGAAGAAAGCACAAAGATGTTAAAATTTTGAACTTGTGGCAACTGGATATTTTACTACCTGTACTAATGTTTGCAAAATTACTAACCTAGTCAAAGTTAAAAAATCTATTATGATTTGAGATTATCATACATGAATAAAAAATATTAGTCTCCATAGGTACCAGAGTTGAAAAGTATATATAGGGACCAAATAAATAAAAATTTACTTTCAATCCCGCCTATAACAGCTCCAAAATACTTTTCAAAAATTGACCTGAAATTGTAGTTGGAATTTGGTAATATTTCATGAGTAAATAAAAAAGTTTAATAATAAGGGAGCTCAGAAAGTAGTTTGTCCCCCTCTTGGTTAAGCAGTGCATCCCAACGCAAATATGCTGCCAGTATCTTGGCAACAGCCAAGTCATGTTTATGCAAAAATTTCCTAGAATATTCCTTGCATTGCTAAAGATATAAACAAAAACTTACCAAGTTCAGTAAATCTATATTTGCTTTCTTTCCATCAACTGTTACATACAGCTTTTCTCCTTTAAATATTTTAGGCACAGATTCTTCACCAAACATCTCTTGCAACATCTCTATCAGACACTCCTAGAAAAATTTTTTTACATCACATACATTTGTAAAGGTTTTTATTACTGTGAAAATTAAGTAAATATAATCTTTGAATGGTGAACCTTACTTTGAAATGCATACGATCCATTTTCGCAGGGACCGGGAAAAAAGACGGCGTAGACTCCAACATCTCAGCTTGTAATATTGCAGCAAGTACAGAATCAGCATACATGTCATTTACTGGTGTAGCTAACCACTAAAAGAAAGAAAATCAATCTTTCTCAAAATTATTCTTCCAGTATTTGAAAACAAGAAATTAATAACACACATTTTCTTCTTCAATAATTTTTGAGAGCCTAAAAAATTGATTCCTTATTACTGTTACGATTTTAAGACTTTTTAATAAGAATCGCATTACAATGCTCTTGAAATTGTTTCAGAAGATTTTCAGTTCGTTTTTTCCCCCCTATTTTGATATTTTGCCTTTTTATTTCTCATAATTCCCCCCAACCAGGAACAAGGTGGAAGCCTATCTATTAACCTTGTTACCATACAAGCACTTCCCTGCAAGTAGAAGAGCAATACTTGGCATATGTTGAATTTGGACTTTCATTACAAACTGCTGCAAGATGTTAGAAGTTCAGATTCATGCAACATATATCACTTATACCAACAGGCAACATTATAAATATACAGTGTGCAAAGTTGTAATAACAAAAAATTAAAAAGGAAAAATAAATATTGCTTTTATATTGACTTGTCACAGCTGCTGGTGCTCTCTAATGAAAGCCATTTTTGTGAACATTTTTATATTTAGTAACAAATACATTTGTCAATTAAAATATAGAAATGAATACAATAATGTTAAGAAAGCATTTCTAATAGAACAAGAAAATATGTGCAGTTGTAACACAACTAGTTTTTTTTCACCAATAGAGGAAATTACACTTATACCTCCACATCCTCACACAACTACATTACGGAAGAGCAGATAATTTTTTTAATGATAAATGTTCTTCAAAATTAATTCTTTAAATAATATTGTGTACATTAAAAAAAATCAAAACTTTTTTTTAGAGAAATTATGACATTAAAATGAATAAATAAATAAATCAAAAAGATTTTCTCAAAGTGGCTTCAAACTGTTTCTTGGGTAAAGCAAAGTGTGTTTAGTAATGTGGTACAGGTTCAAATTTCATTACTACCTCTGGATTTTCAGAACTTTTCAAAGTTCAAAATTTATTTATACCCTCCTACAGCATTATTGAAGATAGAGATTTTGTACTTACTGCAATGAATTTCTCAATATTAAATCTCTAAATAATTTCAAGAACCTTTTGGAATAGTAGAAGTTTACATGTAATTTTGAATTATAATGTATTAGAATTATTATTGTATATTATAGTTATTATAATGTATTAGAACATTAAGAACTCTGTATAAAAGCAGTGGTAATACCATTCATTAGTGCCAAGAAATGGCCCTCGTCTTGTGAACCTAAGCACTTGAGTTCAACTTCCAACCTGGGCTTTTTTTTATCTTATCTTTAAACCATTTGTAACACTAGATCACAATGCACTAAATTCAACTGGAGAGAGGAATTTTCATTTAAATGTTTGAGTTATCAACAAAATAAAAAAAATGTATTTCTGGCAACCTCTCACCCTTTGTTTCATGATGAGTTTTTAAAATTAAGGTTGAAAGTTTTAGGAGGATAAATGTTTCAATATTTGACAACTATTAACAAACACGAGCAAGTAAGAGCAGTTGTAGCACTAGTTCTATATAACCTTGTACTGCATACCAACAAAATTATTTTGCATGTTCTAGCATTTTTTTAGCATATTTTACAATTTGATACTGAAGAAACAAAATAAACCACAACCAAAATTCCCCAAGAAGTTTAAATTACATCTTATAAACTGTAATAAAACAAGAAAATCCTAGGCTTGAGCATTTTCTGTTGTTACCCTCCAAAACTTTCAATGTTAAGTAAAAAGGATAGTAGTTCTTAATGTGGCACCTAAGTGGATGAACTACAGCTGTAAGAAACTGGATAATTGACATAGCTGTCATGGCATTTCAAAACGCACATAATCAAAATTCCAATCTTACAGTACTGACAGCATATAAGCGACTCTGACAGTTCTCTCACCATGCACTGTGGCATGTCAAGTGACCTGCTCTGAGGCAATCAGCATGCAAGGATTTGTTTACTTTCTCACAGCCAGTGTTCAGCGTTGCTGTTCATCTGACTTGCAAGAAGCCACGGAGGCGATAAGATGTGATGTCGCCTGTCAGTAAGTGTTAATGTTTTGAGATTTAATTTATCAGTCATATAAGTGGTGCCATGAGCATAGTAATGTGTGGCAACATCCCATCGAACTGCCAGAGCCACTTATAAACTGCTAGAACTGTAGTAAAGAATCCTGTTTAACCCAGGAACAAATGGGTGGTGTTCAGGAGGTCCAAAAGATAATGAATATATTTGCAGATGTCACCAGGAACCTCTTCTTCCATCTTCCTTTCTTTTGTTTCCAAATATAATGTTTAGAGTGACATTTATTTATATGTTTGTCTAGGTAATTTTATATGCAATTTCTTTCCTGTGGAGCTGTTGAGACCTAACATCCATTGGTACAACTGTGATAGAGCTAATACTTTTTCTTTGATTTAAAGTATTTCATGTAGGGCAATAAGTTTAAAGTTGCAACATGTAATGAGTAATATTACAAAATAGATGAAATGTGTGTAACCCATCTTAACAAATGAAGTTTTATAAAAAAGGATGTTGTTAAAAAGCCTCATTGCGCGTCTTCATAAATAAAAAGAATAATTACAGAATTGCTTCCATTTACAATATACCAACATCTTGCAGTTCTCTAACAATTAAATAATCACAATATTTTCTATATAAATTTTGTTTTATAATCCAGGTCTTTCGTACCCAATCCATCTTATAGTTATATATTTTCTCACATTTCACCCAAACTTTGACACTATTATTTTTTATTCTCAAAACATTAGTGAATTTAGGAAGCTTTTTGTTTCTGCTTACCTCAAGAGTGATTATTTTGTTATCCAGAGTGAGATCAATACATTGAAAGACTCTCAATTTCTTATCTTCCAACATATCAACATTTCCACCAATTTGTACTAGCATATGACGCAATACAGCCATTGGACCTGAGTAGTGGACACTCTGGCGCTGCATTACATGACTCATGCTCATATCAGTATACTCTGTAGGAAAAATTGTAATTTAATTTATTGCAATGACAATAAAACAATGAAACTGTCCCAAAAACGTTCTTCCTTGCATTATTATATAAAAGTGCTCTCCTCACAAAAAAATAATAAGATATTTTAGTTAGTTCCTTTAAATAATCCAACAAAAATTATAAAAGCAAAATAAAAATATTGCATACTTGAAAGGTCACAAGGCGCTAGCATGTGATAATTAAAATTTCTCTTCACAAGCACTCCCGATAACCTATGGCCAGGCTTGGGCTTCTCCATGGCCAGTGTGCCCATGACCTTCGCTGTCTTTTCTCCTCTGAAGTAGAGCTCCACAGCCACTGTGTTGCGAGGATTATGTAATTCCATTCTTGTGTTAGGATCATCTTCATATTCCCTAGTTAAAGCTGCTTTCAAGCGACTCATTTCATTTTGTTCCCCATGAACCAATACCTGAAAGTAAAAAAAAAAAAAAAAAAGAGAGAATTTTGGTATTTTAGTGTCTTTAAATACACAAATAATTTTGTGTGTGCGTGCGTGCCTGTGTGTGTGTGTGTCATGAGTGTACGTGCGTGCCATGGGACCTCTTCAACAATTGAATATCTGTAACAGTATAGGTCATCTTTAACAAATAGCTGGTATGTTTGCCTTTTGGTTGCAGATTCTTTAGGGTTGTGCACAATAAATCCTTCCGATGTAAGGACCTCTGACATGTCCTCCTGTTGGTTCCATAATGTGATTTCCAATTAAATTTCGCACTTTGGGGCACCCTGCCTTGGTCAAACATCTTTCATTTACACCTTTTAAATGTAACAGTCATTTGACAGAGTTTCTAAAGTTGTCCATTACTCCCTAATTCTTCATGATATATTAGGTTAGATTTTAGTAATGCCAGCAAAGCAGTTTAATTTGATTTTAAATCCTTTCAAAGTTACAGGTATTCAGAATTAATAGCGCTGTCCCAGCACTGATCCTTGTGGAACACCACAAGAAAATGGTCTTGTGAATAATTATAAACTTGAACACGGAAAGTTCTACCTTCCAGGTATTCAGAAATCCATGAAAGTACCTTTCATGTCCCCAGGTATTTCAGCTTGTGTAGAAGTAACCATCCACACATAATGCTTGTTCAGGAAGAATATTCTTCTGTCAATGAATTTTTGTTCTTCAAGTGATATTTTCGCCATTACCTTCTCTAACACTTTAGCAAGACTCAAACCTTTCTCATTTCTTTTCTTTTTTTCTTCTTCTTTTTTTTTTTAACAAGTGTTTGTACAAGTGTACAAGTGTTTGAACAAGTTTACATTTTGAATCAATCATAATATATTTTTTTAATCACACATCACTTATAATTATTTATGTAACAAGTATAATAAGGCATCATTAGAACTCAAACAATTACAATTCAAGATTGGAGTTTTATCAAACAAAGCCATTAGGTCAAGTTTGATAACCAATCATGTATGCTAATAAGGTTTTGATACAGAATATTGTATTTTTTATCCACTTCACTTTTATTTAAATTTGGCTATTCATTCTATGAAATATGACAGAAAAATGTTGATAGCTAATTGAAAAATGGATTATTATAGCTCTAACAGAGTCAAAAAAACCTTTCACTGTGCATGTCCAAAAGTGGTCTCTCCCTCCAAACTACAAACATTTCTCCACCTGCCTGTGCTCTTTGTCACAACATAGCTTTCTCTCTGAATTTCTCTCATGGGTCGCAGGGTAATTCAACACTGCGAGTGTGGTGATAAAAAATTGATGAGTGAGAAGGATCAGACAAAAAGCAGCTTACATGTTTCTACAGTAGGGGTTGTCCAAACGATCAACAGAAAATAAGCCGTGTCTTAAAGAAGGGTTTCAGCAATAAGATAATGTGATGGACCAACACATTCATCAATTGGTCATTTCTTTGGGCACTCCTGGCAATGTGAATTCTTCTTCTGACAATGAGTGCAGTAATGATGAGGGACTGTCAGTGCAATCGCTGAGTCTTGCAGTCACCTCGCTTGCGCTTCCTTATTGTTGAGAAGGGTAATCTCAGTGGTCACAGAGTGGAGGAAACTTCCAAGACTTCACCATATGTACATCTGCCATAAAGTTATTTGTGAGCGGTACAGCTACAGCATATTTGTGATCTCATAATGGTTGACCCAGAATTATTACATCTACTAACATAATACAAAGGTAATTTCTAACTTATCATTAAAGTATTATTACAAAAAATAAATAAATAAAACGTACAACATGTGGAGGCTTCAAGATTCGAATGAATTCACTTGTTTGTTGGTAATCTGTATGCGCTGAGAAAGATATATAATCTACTGACATCTTTAAAGGTAATTTCTGTCCTGACATAGTAGTTATTTCTTCGGGTTCAGAAAGGATTGTTTTGGCAAGTGTCCCTTCCACACAGTATCCAGCAATTATTACACCATTTTTGGAATCAGTGCACCAAGACTCAAAAAGTTCTCTTGATAAACCACTCTGCATCATACCAGGGGAAGCCATTACAACACAAGGCCCAATATCTTCAAAATGATCAATACCCTGCAAAGGAGTAAGAAAATTATTCAGTAAACACTCAGATTAACAATTACACTCATAAAAGAAAAGTTTAAGTAAAATTAATGATACCTTCAAATTTGAAATATGTTGGAAAACAAACGGATTGTTGTTTATGGCAATTTGACGCCTAATTTTGTCATTCATTGCATTAATGTAAGTCTGATACACAGCCATACACTTTTTGGCTAACGATGAAGCATAATATATTGGAATGTCGTGCAGTTCTGGATGTTGGCTCCAATATTCCTCTAATAATACACCACAAAGAAATGTAATCAATTTAAAACATAAGCAGAAATTCAATATACATTTGTAAGGAAAAAGAAATATTATATATTTATAATATCTTAAAACAAAAATTTACTAACCAAGTATTAAAAGCAATTCTTGCGCTCGACCCAAAGCAAACACTGGAATTAAGCATCTTCCTCCACGATTAACAATATCATGAACAAGAGCTGTAAATCTTCCTTCACGTTCTTCTCTTTTTTCATGAATGTGTGTTCCATAAGTAGATTCCTGCATAATATTTACATTTTTGATATACAGAATGTTCGAACAATTACCCATTACATTGAAAAATCATATACTCCATCATCATATTAACTTACTGTAATAAGAACATCAGGATGAATATTTGGTATTTCTGCTGCCATAAGATGTCTGTCTTCTTGACGTGAAAAATCTCCAGTATATAAAATCTAAAATGAATATTACATAAACTTTTCAATATTTTTGAAGTTATAACTATGTTTAGAATTGCAAAACAATCATTACCTTCACACCTGCAATTTCTATCATAAACATAGCAGCTCCTAAAACATGTCCAGCAATATAAGCCCAAAATTTAATACCAAAGACATCCTTTTCTTCATGAAAATTAATGGTTTCAATCTTGTCCATGCTTGCTTCCAAATCTGCTTCAGTGTAAAGCATTTGTTCAGTGGCAATATTACTAAAATAATACAAAAGACAGACATAAGATATACTTTACTCCATAAAACGGTAATATTCAATGCACTTTGGAGATATGTTTTGAAGTTACAATATTTAAAGTTTATGTTTCCTTGTGGTTTATAATTCTGACACAATAATTCAGATTAATTCCCTGATAATATGGTCATCTGTATTATTTCAAATAGTAGGCTGAGAACTCCCTTTACAAATACAAATAATACACACTGAAAGAAGAGCCTTAAAAGTCACTGTGCACTACTTTAAACAATCAATTTTTACCTCACTTTGATGTAATCTGAAAGGAGCCACCTATATATTGCTTTTGTTGCATGAGTCATAAAACATCTTCCTTTAAAACTTGTCTTGAGCAGAAACCATGGTAAAGCTCCACAGTGGTCCAAATGAAAGCTATAATTAATAAATACGGGTCTTTATATAAAACTTGAAAAATATCTAAAAAATTAATCAACATCATCAAAACTTACTGCGATATCAACAAAAGATCTATTTCATCAGCTTCTACAAGATCAACAAATGGAAGTGCATCCATTCCTGAGAGACCAGGATGGATTCCACAATCTAACTGTAAAAATAAAAAGTAGAATAAACAAAATAAGTAAGTAGAACAAACAATTCAATGAAGATAATTTTATCCTCAAAATTATTTAATGAAATTCATTAAATGCATGCTGACATGGTAAGCAATTCTGTATTGTTCTCGAATCAGAATTTTTATAGTGGTTTCAGTATTCTACACAAAATATATTAGAAATGGAAATGTTCAATTCCTGAAACATTTGTATAAATATATAATGAAGTAATCAATTAATAAAAATGTACATTAACAAAGATTTTGTTCAGTAGCAAAAACCACTTATACAAAAGAATGAAGGGGTACTCGTGAGTACCTCTGGTGATTTTTCATGCCTTAAAGAATGAGGAAGAAAATTACCATTATTTTTTTCCCTTTAAATTCCAACATAATACATGATCGACCGACTTCTTGACCAGCACCTCTGAAAATTTCAAGAAACAATATAAATAATAAATTCTTTGATTAAATTTATTGATCACTACAGGAAAAAAAAAATAAATACTCACAGGGGTCTAATGAGAAGGAGATCACTTTCTTCTGCCGGAACCTGCGAGTCCGGCTTTCTTTTCGCAGCCATTGCAGTTACTTTGTATTCTACATAATACACTCTAACACAATTATTCTGAAACCGCGCAACGCTCTCGGTAAGTTAGAAGAAATATCGTGACTTTCTTCACAATCAACAATGTATCCTAAAGCTCACCGCGTTCCGAAGACTGATTCTCCATACGTCTTCTGTGCGAAATATCGATTACGCGTGTCGTTACTCACATTTTCTTCAACGAACTTTGAATGTTGGCAACATGATAGGCGGGAAGCTTGACACCATTGAACCAGGCTATATATAAATCACCTCCCAAGGTTGAACTCTTGATGTAATCATTTACTTATCTAGACAATTTTAAGAACAGACATCACTTATTCACGCCCTTGTGCAAACATAGCAGCATTGAAAGGCCAGAAAGGAGTTTTTTGTTTGTTTTTGTGCGATATGTAAAAGAGACAAATCATTTTAAATTTTCGAGATACTAAGATTCTTCATAAAAAGCAAAATTAGTCAATAAAAAACAGATATTGATAAATGAAGCATACCTTTACGTAAATACTGTTAACTAAACTTTGCCTTATAAATTGCTATGATATGTAATTACTTGAGTTGTCACTTATATTACATTTTTAACACACATTTCACATAGTAATTTAGAAAAATAAAGTCAGTCTGTGTTAAGATGTTGTGGAGTGGTGATGACAGAATGTAGTTCTCCAGTTTAGTCACAGTTCAATGTAAATCAGTAGCAGCTCCGTAGCATTGACACTATTATGAAATGTATTATACTAGTACATGAATTGTATTATACTTATGAAATGTTTCATAGTATATTTGAATATATGCTAGTATAATATTTCATAATAATTTTAAAAGTTAATTATAACAATATTGGTGTGATGTAAATATTATTCATCTGGAAATGTATAATGAACATTTAATTATCTCCTCAAAGAAATTAGTGGTTTGGAAAACATCCAGGCTTATTCATGAATGATTGCTTTCCAATCTCTATGCTTCAGTGAGCTGTAACTCTGCCATGAATCCCATAGAAAATTTTCAATCTAATTTAGTTAATAGAAATCAAGGAAAACAATACCACGCCATCTAGATCATAAAACAACTCACTCATATCTGGCAAAAATACTCTGAAATTGAAAGAAAGGATTAAAAATTGATTTTAATATAACTCACAACAAATATGTTTAATATAAATTACATGTATAAAAACATTAGAAACCTGTTCACACAGATTATTGTCAAGATCTGTGGTTACAAATATGTTTTTGTCTCATTCAATAACTCTACCATTATAATTTGGCCACCCCAGTATAATTGACTGATGTCTCTAGGAACATCAACTGCTACAGTCATTAGTCCCCTTAGTGTAGTGAATTATTTTGTCCCGGGAGATGGCTGTGAATCCTTTCCCACTGGAAGGAGAGATTGTGTGTGGTCAATGGTCGGTTTGTTGGGAGATTGGTCCGGCATTCACCTAGTACTGATCAGAGAAACCATAGCAAACTCCCAATCAGAGCAGCCCTCTGCCAGAATTCTCCTCTAGACTGCAGGTGAATTCAATGCAGTTAGTATCGAAAATCCATCACAACTCGAACCCTAGGAATTTCAAGTCTGATTCGCTGTAGAGAGAGAGAGCAGCAATGCTGGCTCTGACCGAAACTCGCCCACTGAACATGAAATCAATGTCAATATGGGCATATTATTTAACCAAATTCAAAGCAGGGATTTCTCTTAATCAGAACATCTATACAATCACAACTCATGTGAGAAAGTTTCCTCTCATAAACAACTGAATTTACAGGTGGAATATACTCCTCAAATATGTGACCACTATTAGTTACTACATTTGAAATAGTTATCACTAGTAGCCAACAGCAGTTTACATTCAGCAAAACAAAATCACACTTATAAAAAGTTACCCAAAACATGGCATGCCCATAGCTCGAGAACAAATAAAACACTCTTGTATAACACAAGCACAAATTAAATATTTTTAAAAAAAATCTTCAAAAATACTGCAAAAACATTCTATAGTATTAAACTATTATTCACATACAAAGAAAATGAAAAAAGTTTCACTTCCTTAACACAACTCACGAATAGCAAATATTTAATGGGAAATGGCTTTTTTCTTGGAGCTTTGCTGTCACAGAGCATCAGCTGCGTTGTAAGCAGGGAAGCATTGAATAAGAGAATTCAGTTTGAGAATAGGCAAAATAATAAAATCAAATATTTGCATTTTTTAGTCAAAATCAAAACTGTAAAATTTTGTGTGCATTGGAAGTTAGTTACATACATAGATTTTAAATACAAGACACAGCACATTGTAATAAAAACAAAATCAAACTAGTTGATAATTTGGAGATAATAATTGAAAATGTAAAAACATGTCAGCTAAATATTTTTTGGAATAAAACTAATTTAATTATTTCCTGTTTGCTTGGCCAATACAGACTTTAGTTTCAGTGTGGTAACCACAATTTGTGCACTTAACGCTAGCTATTTTTTAAACATTTCAAAACGGATTTGGTTTCTTATTTGAATGCTTGGATGTGGATGTTCCACACACCAACAGAACAATCATCCAAGTATACGAAGGTGAACAATGAAATTGAAAAGACCTAACAGTGATTGAGAAAATAAAAAAGGTGCAATAATAAGAAACTTTTTCTCATACAAGTATTACAACTAGTCGTGCTAAAACAGCACATACTTTCTCATCCTTAGTAACAACTATATAATATTATTTCTCTTTGACCATTCATTAATATACATATTCCTGCTGCATATTTAATGGACAAATGGTATTGATTATACACTCCATGAATTCCAGTTTGGAATCCACGGCCTGTCGACCATTATCATTCCTAGAATGTTTGGAATCCACAAGCACAATTGCAATGTCTTTGGAATATTGTTTTTAAATAACAATCACAATATACTGAAGGACCAAAAGAACCAAGGAGGACAAGTGAGACAAAGCGGCAAAAGGAGGACAAAGAGGGCAAGGGAAAAAATTGGAAAAGGGATAAAATGTGGAAAGGGAATTATACAAGACACAGCACATTGTAGCAAAGACAAAATGGAATAACGAGACAAAGAGGACCTAGGGAGCAAAATGGGACAAGGGCCCAAACTGGAACAAGGGGAGAAAATGGGACTAGAGGACAAACGGAAAAGGAGGACAAGTGGAACCAACTGGAAATAGGAGAGCGAAATGGGACAAAAAGGACAAGGGCCAAGAGGGACCAAAGAATTATGAACACAAGTAAAATATAAACCCGAGAGCTTCTAAAATATTTTTAATGACTCTAGCATTTTAACAGCTGTAGCTGTGGATGCGCTCTTGAAGCGTTGTTAGATGGTTGGTTGTTAAGGAGCTAAACACGTGTTTACCGACGTAAATCACAAAAAATGTGTTCAAAATCTCTTCTGAACATTCAAGGCAGTAGAGAAAGTACAATCTTCTACGTGCGCATAATGGCTATGCGCTCGTGGAAGAATATACTATTATACCACAAAATCTCCCCAAATATAATTTTTTGTAAAACTCATGACATATTGTAGAATAATCAGTGTGAAAACTAAATATTTGTAAGCAAATATCAATACAAATAAAAACATACTTTCCATTTCTTACTGCTAAATCATGTCACAATGAGACGTAATTTACAGAAATTCAGTTGCTGTCTCACTGCGAGGAATACCATTGTTGCATTCTAATACAATATTCCCTGAAGGCTAGCAATGTTCCTTTTAAATAATTGCTTGAAGCTTTTGAATAATAAAGTTTGAACATTATAAAGGATCAATGAAAAATGAAATAATTAAAAAATTCTAACTTGCATTGCATCCAACTGTCTGGAATCACCTATCATATTACATACTACATTATATATTAACAAAACGCAGGAAATTTGAATAAGATGACAATGATTGCCATGAAATTACACAAAAATACTCAATTTTCAAAAAATTCAACAAACTTAATTGAAGATCTGTTTTTGATGAACACAATTTCATTAAGAAAAAAAAAATGTTTATCTTCATAACTGTAGTAGTAGGCAGACACTGAAATATATCTTGAATTTTCAATGAACAGCAGACCTGCACCATTCTCTTAAGCACCCTATACACTATTCGTGGTCAAAATGTATTCAAAATTCGTGCCATTTTTGAAAAAAACGAATTGTTGACACAAAATTAAAAATTGGCTATATTTCACGCAATAGAGGCTTTAATTTTCCATATTTTTGATTTATTTCAAAATCTATCTTGAAGAAACAGGGAAAAAAATTTTATCTTCATAATTGTGATGTTATGATAACAAACAATGGAGCCAGTTTTTAAAAGGTCCCAGGGGCTTCATGGAAAGTATCCCCAAATTTAAATTTCGGTTTAAAACTCAAGAGGCTGCTATGTCAGCCAGATCGATCGTGAAATATCAATTTTGGACAAAATCAGCTGAATGGTTCAGCCCTATTTTTTTTAGGAACTTGATTTATCCACTTCCCTCTTTTTCATTTCCAGAGCATAAAAGTGTTTCAGCAGAAAATTTGTTGTTTGCTAGTGTAGCATTACATAAATTTCCCTCTACTGCACAAGCAGAAGTGAGAAAGTAAAAATAGAATAAATTAATGGTCATTGTAGCCAATACTTCCTCGGATTCCCTGCCAGAAACAGAAAACACAAATGAACAGAAATCAGAAATTATTATTTAATTTTAATAGACAATCTCTGAATACGAAACTATGCACAGTATCACTGGAGGAAGCTACGAATGATTAAAACAATACATTTCACTGTTACTATATTCAAACAAAACTTTATTGATGGCATTCATTTAACACTGCAAAATATATTATCTTACACATAGTCACTGTGACAAATTCATCTCCTGCATTTCACTTATTCAGATCTGACTCTCACATTGGTGCGATGCTCTTCAATTTACCATTTTAACACATTCAACTTTGATTCCATTCAAAACACACAATTAGCACCAGTAATAACATTTAAAATCTCATTAAGTCTCTTTGTATTACAAATCACAATAATTCACGGAATGCAGAAGATTACGCTACCAATCATCTTGTGGTAATTTGTAAGTCCAGTTGTCACTTTTTATTACTTCAATACCAGCTCCATAATGAGGGATCACATAATGAGAACCATCTGCAGGGCCAACTACTTGAGTGGCAATTAAAATAATATCTACAAGTTGTCCAAGAAACATGAATCCCAAAGTACAAAATTTAAATAGACCTATTGCTGGATAACCTAAGTAGAAACGATCTGCACCAAACATTCCTAAAAAGATAGAGAGAAGCATAGCCGTTTCAAAAGAATATCCATTCCTGAAAAAAACAAACAAAAATTAGCTAAAGAAATTTTAAAAAAACATAAAATAACAAACATCACTTACGTCCATTTACAGGGAATATCTCGTTTAAAAGTTCTGTTGTTAGTCTCAGTGCAGTTTATGCCAACTGATGCTAAACAGAGAACTGAGAAGAAACATAGTTAAAATGTTAAAGTCATGAGTGAGAAATGCATGACGAAATCTGATATATCTGATTATTTAACTTATTACCTTTTGCTTTATTTTCTTTAGTACATCCTCTGGGTTGCTGAGTCTGTGGATCAATGTAATCATTTATGATATCAGGATGAGGACATTTGTACTGTCCCATCCTTAATGTACTACAATCAACATAATATTGTTCATCACACTTTGCACAATTGGTAACCAACAAAACAAATGCTAATTCTATGCACAAATGACCCAGCGTAGTCATGTTACACCATAACTTAAATGCATGTGTAGCTTAAGCAACAACACTTTCTCGTTTTGTTTAAATAATGAAATAAAAATCAAAACAATGCAACATAACCTACGAATAATTCCGTACAACTAACATTTTAGCATAATTTAACCAGTAGCATAATGTAACGATGAAAGATAACTGACAGTAGTTCGCTTAAATTTCACTGTTAACGAACGAGAACATAAATAAAGAGTTGTATCAATTCGATCAACATCGCTGAAAAACGAAAATTCTCTCTTCGTGCTTCAACCCCAGCACTGGCACCACTGACTGGCACTGACTGTTTGTGTCTCACTGTCGCTCACTGACTTCTTTTGTGCATTCTGTGCTGTTCTGCTGACTGCAGTGTCGGAAACTTAACACGTATCAACTCTACGATGCCAAATACTATAGAGACTATTGTATTCTCTGAGGTTGTATACTATACTCTTGAGGTTGTATACTCTCTTGTATACTATAGAGACTATTGTATTTGACGAAGCAGTCTTCGCATCAGCATGCTGCCAACGTGATTGAAACCGGCCCGAGGGTTATGCGTGAGCGTTCGAGGGATATCGGGACCCAAGTAGGCCGATTTGGAAATGACCGCGCTAATGTATGTGTGCTATGCAGCCACGATTTTTTCATGTACGTAAAATCATTATAAATATTTGATTTCGGCGTAATTCGTATTTCCCACAAATACGCCAAATTATTATCGTGATAAGTTGGCGAACCTTACGCAAAGCATCACCATCTCACACAGCAATAAAGTAACCTTGTACAAACTTGTAGTTTTGGCCAGTTTATATTACGAAGTCGTTGTATTACTCTCTGGTTCTAGCTCCAATTGCAAATTCAGTTGGTCGTAGGTTTCCTCTGGGTTTCGTATCTTAGTATGATTTGTTTGATCCAGAATGTAGACATTAAGATTAAAATATTAAAAGTAGTCCGTATATATGCCAAATTCTTACTACCGGGGAATTAGAAAATCATTGTGAAATACGATTTTATTTTTTAAATTTAAGGACGCATCACCATCTTGGTCATTAGCGACCACTATTAGATTTAACTATGAAGATGACATGATATGGTGATGATAGTAGTAGTATAGCGAGTTATTTTACACCCTAGGGTGTCTCTCGCATCCCAGACTCCAAATGCTCTATAGGTGTAGCCTTCATTACTTAATCCTCTCTTCACCATTCACTCATCCACTCTCCCGATGTAAGTCTAGGTCTTCCTATTTGTCGATGGGTAGCTGGTTGCCATTTCCACAATATTTTCGACCGACGCTCTTCGTTCATTCTTTGCATGTGCCCATACCATTTTAGTCTTTTTACTTCCATGGTGTCAATTATATTAAAACTCACTTCCGCTTTACGTTTAATGTCTTCCTTGTTAACTTCATCCGTTTAAAGTCATTCCGCAACTTCGGCGCCAGAAAATCCATTTCCATTGCCTTCAATTCCTTTTCGCTCTTTTTTGTTACTTCCCATACCTCAGATCCATAAAGGGCAATTTTCTCTACAACAGTCTTATATAATTTTCTTTTTACACTCTTACTTAATTTATCTTTCCATATCAGTGGATGTAATTGTCTTATAGCCACTCTAACTTTTTGCAATTCTGTTTATACCTTGCGTACTGCCTCCATTTGCGTTTATTTCTGAACCGAGGTATATGAATTTTTGAGAGGGTTACTTCCAAACCATCATCCAGTTTCAGACCTTTAGCACTTCCTCTACAACCATATACTCAGTCTTGTTAAGGTTTATTTCTAAACCACATTCCGAGTACTCTTCATATAATTTTCGCAGCATGTATAGGCATCGTCTTCATCTTCAGTGAACACCACCTGATCGTCTGCGAAATGTAGAGAGAATAACATAGAGTCACCAATTTTAATACCCATATTACAACATTTCTTCCTCATCTTCTCAGGGCTTCATTCAAATATATTTTAAACAAGTCGAGGCTACACAGCAACCCTGTCGTAAACCTTTATTTATTGTAAGTATGTCAGTGTAAATAGTAGTCGAAAGTAAGCAGCGCGCGAATCAGTTAGTGTGTGTCATCAGTGAATAAGCAGTCAGTCCGTCAGTGTGTCTGAAGTGGAAGCTGTGCTGTAAAGTGTGCATCGCGGAACAGTGGTGGCCAGTGGGTGAACAGCAGTCAGCAGTTTGAAGTCTGCAGTGGAAGCTGAGCTGTGAAGTGTGCTTCGCGGTAGAAAGCAGTGCAGTGGACCCTGGTCTGCGCAAGGAATTGTGGTCAGTGCATAGGATTGTGCGATAGTGTAGATTGCAGAGAACAGTGTAAATAAATAGTCAGAAGTGAAATGTGTAAATAAATAATCAAGAGAACGGAATCGTGTAATTAAGTGTAATATATCTGTAAATATATCAAGTAGTTTTAGTATATGAGTGTTTACGAATAAACTTCTTTGTTTAAATAATACCTGCGTTGGTTTTTATTCACCACGGAGAAACGTTAGAATACTGAACACGTTATCAATACCTGAGTACCCCGCTCGAAAGCCACTCTGTTCCTCGACATCAATGAGGTCTCTTTCCAGTCGGGTTTTTAATATTTTTTCATACGCTCGGCCAATGCTGCTGAGGACAGTTATACCTCTATAATTTGCACACTGTTTTCTATTACCTTTTTTGTAGATGTTAGAGATATATCCTTTCCTGAAGTCCTTGTGTAATTCTTCCCCATTAAACATCTATTGTACGAAGATGAGTATGAAGATTCAATAATAAACTGGGGCCATTATCCAGCAATTCAATGTTTACCAATCCTGGGCCAGCTGCTTTTCTATTTTAAAATCTCTGTGAGATTAGCTTCACCAGGACCATTGGAAGGCTGTTCGGGCACATTATGAAGAAACGAATTGAAATGGAATGGAGCTGTATGGAATGGCAGAGTGATTTACGATCTGCCAGATCATGTATGGATTGTATTTTATGTTTGAGGAACAGACAGAACAGCGGTATGTGAAAAGATTAGAAACACACCTGGTTAACGTTGATTGGTAGAAAGTGATCCCAAAGTTAAGCAGGGGGTGCGGTGATTAGTTTGTATATCCCAGCTGGTAGCGGCCAACCAGCTCCCCGCAACCCAATTTTTTGTTATCTGCTGTAATTGTGCCAATGCTGGTGTTGGTCTATCGTTTTTAATTGTCTGATCCTTCTCGTGGAACTATCCAATTGAAAGTGGTCTCTTAAAAATATCATCGGTTATACTCACTGGAAAGCATACTACTCAGAACTATTCCTGATGTTCGGTAGTCAAAGCATTTTTACTACACTGCAAAGTAACAACAAATTCTCACGAAATAACGAGTAAACACGACACGTCACAAACACTACAATGGATCACCACTGCGTAATATTGCCCTGATACGCACATTGATTTTCAAAGAAGAATACGCTGTGCTATTCACAAAATCGAGGATTATAGGGATCTGATCACACGTGTCAGCTCTTCATTCCTCAGAATTTTTTTTTTTTTAATTTCATCTGAACAATCTGGTTTATTCTCATTACATTGAGAGAGAAACATACTCGTTTTATAAGTTATAAACGTCTCGTTAATTTAGTATACTAACAAAATATTCCATTTGAAATAATTTTGCGAGCCGGGCAAGGCCTGGCGTTGAAACGGCGGGAGGGGGAGAAACGTCATCCGTCTCCAGCTAGTTAGCCAGAGAGTATATTACTCTCTGGCTAGTTAGCTTTAGTGAGTAGTTAGCTTTCAGTGCATTATCGGCTGCGGCTTCTCACTGATGGCCGCCTGCTCTGGCCCAGTGAAGAAGATGCGCGCGCAACACCCAGGCCCATGAGGTTAGAGCATTGCAGAAGCAGAAGGCGGCTGCACAGATCTCAGTGAAGTGTACAGTGGGTGCAATACGTTTGATCATGTGACATACGGTTCATTGTAATTGTTATTCTCAAAATTCATAAATCTCTCATTTTTGCTTTTCCCAGCAGTGCTGGGGTTGAAGGCACGCCACTGAAGTTAAACTACAAATTGTACTGACCATGGAGGGGTTAGGAATAATGTTAATTAGTAAGAAAATTCTACGCTCTATACAATGATACATAAAAATTTGGAAAACCACCTCGCCCGACTTCAAGACCTCGAAAGGGGTTACAGGGTTGCTGTCGGTGCCTTACGCTGTTCGAGATAAAACGTTGATGTTGCTCTTTCGACAATGGACGAGAAAATGTAAAAACACGAGAGTAAAAATAAACGACTCTTACCGGAATACCTTAATGTTTGCGGAGGATTAAGTTATAATTTTTATGGTAAGTGTTATGGTTAGGAAACTGGACGCCTGGAGATCAATGTTGAAAAGGCAAAATACTTACCCAAAGCGTAAGACACGAGGGATTTGTATATTGAAAGAAACGCCTTAAAGCATTCCATGATTTTATACACCTTAGGGCTATTTTCAACACCAAGGCCAACTTTGGGACGGGTGTTGAAAGTCGAATACATTATGGACAAACAAACTAAGTCAAGGAACTAAATGAAATATGGTGGGCGAAAGGAATAAGAAATAGTCATTACAAAAATAGCAATAATTAAAGGAATTTCCTTATATGGTAGTGAAATATGAGAAGTAAACAAACATCAAGCTTTAGAAATGGATTCCCTTCGGAGAGGTTGCAAAATCTCCAAATTAGAACGTAGTATCGCAAATGAAGAAATAAAATTAAGAGGAAATTAATATAACTTAAACAGAGATATATAATAGAAAACAAGTGAATTGTGGTATGAAGACAAAAAGAATGTAAGAGATGCAATGACCGGTGAAAATATGGGACTGGACATCAGCTGCAAGAGGATGACAGGAAAACTTGGGGAGATGCTGTACGAAGCAATGGCATCCAGACAGTAGGTGGTGGAGAAGTGGAGGTATCGGACAGAACAAAGTGGCGAATTGGGTGAGGGAAATGACGAATGCTGTGAAACCCTTGGTGGAAGAAGGTAGCATTGGACTATATAATTCTAAAAGACTAAATAAGATTTAACGAGATTTGTACCTCAGCCTCTGGGTCAATGACCCCCCCCCTTCTCGACAGATTTTTCGTCGTTTTCCTGATCCCTTGTATTGCTTTTGAACATAAATGTAAATTCACTATCTGTGCACGCACGTTTTGTATAGTTCGGTGGGAAATTTTTATTGAAATTATTGTGCTCCATGTTCTTGCGGCAGAACGTCGATTTCTTCACGAGCATTATGAGGAAAAAAGACAAAATCTGTAGCTAATTTGTCTTTGCAAATAGGTTTTTATTTTTTTTAATCAACCCCCTCTTGACTCCTTAGCAACCATCTACCATCAAACTACTAGTAGTACGCATTTAGAGAACGTCCACAGCAACGACCGTTAAAATGTTCAGTCCATTAAAACTATTTTGGCGGACTTTGAGTTAACTAAGGCAGTGGTGCGGGTTGACCAGTGCTCATAAATCTTTGGATAAATATGTTGTTACCACAAAACAGAATTTTTTGGGAATGTAAACAAATATATTTTTACAATTGTTTTGGTATAAAAAAGTTACAATTTTTGAAATTATCACTGAAAGTAATGCCATTTGAAGCCGAGACATTTATCTTTGTTAGCGTCACAAGAAATTGATTTTTTTGTCCCTTCCCCTTTTCGTCAATGTCTTTTTGTCCTCTTTGCCTCCTTGTCCCTTTCTTCAAGTTTTCCAATTTTGGACATAATGTCCTCTTGCTTTTATGATCCTCCTTTCCTCACTGTGTCCCTAATTCCCCCCGTCCTTTAGTGCACTGCAATTATTATTTGAAAACGGTAGCAAGACCCTATACCAATAACCCTTGCTACAGAACATCAAGAGTGATGACAATTCTAAACTCATGAAAGTGTTAAATGTTTATTTTGAATAATTAGAATGACTAGAAATAACAAAAAAATATTGTGTGCAACACATCCTCTATTAGTCTTTAAGGACTTTTAACATAAATAACTTTTATTACACAGGAGCAAATATTTTATCAAATCTTACCAAAAACATGTTTCCATTTATATTACGAATTCAACTAGTATACAGTTGTGGGTAAGGATAGAATAATTCAAGAAACATGCACAGAATACACTCCTTCACACATCACACAGTTTTTAACAATAACAAATAAACTGAAATGTTTTTGCTCATTTGACATTAACTTCTTTTTCAGATCAGGGGATTAGCTTTAGTCCCTATGCCTTGTCAAATCCTGTTCCCATTCTCCTGTAAGTGCCTTCTGCAAAATACCATAAAAAGTCGTGGCAACAGATTTTTTCCTTCCACAGGCTAATTGTGTTTTATTGAGGAGACTTTCCGCGGACTGGAATCTCTTCTTTTGCAGCCTTAGCCAAGGAGGCTTGAAGCACGACCAACGAGATTGGCTCATTGAGTGGGAAATTGATAGTTTCCATTCTTACTCTGGAGGTAAAACTTCTTTTGGATCTACATAGGATTCTTTTTGGAGAGAAATATTTTGCCTTTTTAATGCTGGAAACTCTAAAAACCAGGAAAATGCCTCTTATATTGGGGCTAGAGACAGCTGGACCATGTTGTCTCTACATGCATGCTCTCTTGTAATGGGGTTCTAATACAATTATTTTCAGAATGTATAAGATTCAATTTTGTAAGTTTAAATGCTTACTATAATTTCTTTAGAGTGAACACTTTTCTATGAAATGTGATGCAACAAGCACAAAAACAAAATAGAAATAATAAACTGAAACAAAAAAGAAATGAATCTTATCAATTTTTAATATCTATCTAAAACTTTGCATTAGGTGGTGTGAAAGGGCCACATCGTATTTAATAATATCCTTTAATAAGAACCATTCATCGTTCTTAACAGAACTCATTTCAGACAGAGAACAGTGTGAAAGAAGTAAAAGCCAATAGCTATTGTTAATTATTTTGATTCAGTTTGCAATTTTGAATTCAAAAAGAAATTCAGTAGCAACATTACATTTTCAATATTTTCACATTTTTAAATTAAGAAAAATAACAATGCATTTAAAAAAAACTAAAAAATGTGAACTGCATTGGACACCAAATATATCAAGGCAACAAGGCATTTTAATATTTGACTTGCATACAAATTATTTGAAGATTAAATTTTAAAAGATATCACTTCAAAGTTCATGTTATGCATTTTATTAAAAATGTTATAAATCATTCTCCAGCACAAGATAAGTCAAAGAAAAAACATAATTATTTTAACAACACTCAAAACTGTATGCCTATATTACACAATGTCTTAGGAAGTGCTGCACTAGGAATTTATATTGTAATTTCTCTACGAGAAGTGTACAAAATAAAATACATTTTTACATAAATCTTTACATTAAAATGTCACAAGTTACAATCGTAGCTCTTTATTCTTATTTCTCAAACTTATGAGGATAAATATAAAATTTCAGAAGTATAATAATCTTTTGTGTCAATAATCTATTGAAAATGGGTTTTAAATTCACAGAGGCCAAGTAGCATGATTGACATTCAACTCTGAAGCTGTACCAGAGAGTAAAAATCTTAGTATGTTCTAATTTGTATCAAAGCAAATAACTATTCTCCCTTGCATACTTTATTAAGAATTTTTTTTATATCTTCTGCCTATGCTCTAAAAATAAGTATATCATAAGCTGCTTATGTGTAATAACATTCCATATATCTCAACAAACATTTGCAACTAGTATGAATAGGAGACTACCAAGTAGTCATTCCTTCCTTAGGGTTTGGTTCAACTTTCATTGTAAACTAAAATTCTTCACTTGTAACTACATAACAAAGGTATACTATTCAAAACAGACATATTTCAAACCAAGCAAGAATCCGTGCCCCAAGGATTTCTCTTTTTAGAATTTTTAAATATCCAACATTTAAACTATTAAAATCACACACAAAGGAACAAGTGGTCCCAATCAAACCCTGCCAAGGACCAACAACTGTACACTATATATAAATATTTAAGTCTGCTTGCAACAGTCAATGAACATTCTTTCCTGAGATGTCATTGTTTCAAATTGAAGCAAAATTCTTTTTTTCCCAAAACTGTCATTCGTAGTATACAGTTTGCAAGTTTGTTTATAATACATTTTTCATGCTTTGCATGTCATTTTCACAAAATACATAAACACACAATGACAAAACAGGATATTTAGTTTCTGTAACATGAGAATGTTATTTGCACTTTTTTATACAGGAAACAGAGTAACAACACATTTTACAATTTCTCGTTCTCACACGCATTCACATTATTAAGAAGACAAGATAACATATTTGTGGAATGAAAAATGCATAAATTAAAATACATCAACAAAGTATATTTTTCATTACAAAAGCACAGATCACACATTCTTCATTGCTTCTCCAAACTGCAGCCTTCATCATTTCGTTTTGTGTTCATAACTATAGTAATATACGTCCATCACAGAAATGATGCAAGAACAATTGAACTTGCCTGGCCATTGGGGCAGTGTTTGGGAGACTCAGTTTGAAACTAAGAATAGCCACATGCTTGGAAGGCCAAATAAATATACAAAAATTTTAAATGCTAGTATTCATTCAGATATGTTATATTAATAGAGCTATATCTTCTTTCTGCAACTTGCAAACACATTTTTGTAATACAAATATGTACAGTATACACAGCTTCTTATTGAAATGTGCACACATGCAGACAATACAGATTACTGGAATGATTGGATGCATGGCGATTTCATACAGAAATTGTTTTTATACATTAGAACCACAAAGAAGTCAGTACGGGACTCAAGAAGGTAACTACTGCTATTAGTTGCAGTCGTTAAGACTGTATTGTGAGAGTGACGTTCCCTTGCGTGTGTTTCAACACTGCCACAGCTTGCTGGTGAGTGAGACCTTCCAAGCTAAGTCCATCCACTGCTACAATCTGGTCCCCTCTCCTCAGCTGCCCCCCCCGAGCAGCAGCCCCCTTTTCAAACACTGTCTTCACGTAAATTGGAAGATCACCATGAGGACTGCAATGGCCACCAACAATACTAAATCCTAGGCCATCTGGTCCTCGCTCAAGAACAATTGTTCTTGATTGTGACTGGGGCTCCACTTCACTGCTCCTGTGCAACAAAAATACAACTGGTCTCCCTACAATGTTCAGAATACCAAAAATTCTGAAATACCTATGATACAATTGCATGTAAAGGTAAAAATTATGAAAGGCTTTGCTATAATACAAATACTTTTTGTCGAAGTAATGAAATTTTAATACAGAATTATTGCAATTTAATGAAAGCCTGTAGTATTCATCTTGAGAAGAAATTAAGATCTTTAGAAATTATCAGAGTAATTTCCGTTTCATAACAATAACTTGAATTCTTGTACGTTCATTCATAACTTGAATTTCAGTGTACTTCTTAACCACCTCCACAACTTTACATTGCTATAGAATTGTAACTGAATTTACTTTAGCTAGTAATCTAATATTTCCTAAAGCTAGAGAGCAAAGGACCGATTTATGTAGAAATATATATTTTGAAGTATTAACACCTTGAGCGTTAATAATATTTATTACTCCATGTATTTAATTAATCATCTTTTGGAAATTATCCAAGCATACCTATATTTTTCCACAAAATGTATAGAAGTTCAAATATCAACTTACCTGTTTAATTTCAAGCTATTTCCTGAAGAATGAGAGCATGTAAGTAAAAAGAGAGTTAGTTTTTGGACAGAATGATTTGAATGCACTTAAGTACAGGGAATGGGAAGCAATTAAAACAAGGATTTGGAAACGTGAAATTAAAATAGTAATATGTAATTATAATTCATCATAAATTCAAACCAATCAAATTAAAAGTTTTAATATGAAATAAACTTTCAACACAGCAACAAAATCAATACAACTTTTATCATACAGATTGGCTTTTACATATTTATACATATATTGTTGCGTAATACAGTGGCAAGAATAAAATATATGTATATACAAATATACATATAGACAATGAGATGTATTTCACGACAATCATTTGATAAATTTACACACATGAGTGTAAATAGTATTTCTACAGATTTCTCCTTCGAAATGACCAATTGGCAAATTGCCTGACGAGAGAAGATCTTTTAGTCGAGAATCGAGGAAAGTTTTGTTCCACACAGCATGGCCAGGAATCCGAGAGCACAGCTCCTCGAGTAACATTACTCACCCTACAACAAGAGTCAATCTCCATGTTGTGAAATAATGACCACATTTAATCTGCATTTAACAATCTTACATGCTCATGATTTTCGTTTTTAGTTTTAGAAAGGAAGAATTTAATTCCCCTTACATATTTTAGTTTGAACGATTTTCAATTTATTTTTAATGAACACTTCACAATTATACAATTATGTTTTAGATGGAGAGAGGACCAATTATGCACATATGTAGCCTCTCTTATACCTTTTAATCAGTGTAAGAGAGTTTCTGTGTCTTCTCCATCACAATTTCAGGAGGGGAAAAAAAAAAATATATATATAAAACACCATTATACACTCACCTGTCAGTGTTGCCAGAACTGGAACGTCTGGAGCCAGCTTTCAGACGACCAAGCTTCATTGACACCTTGCCAGTTGCTGTTTTTAAAACAGCCGCAGCTTCTTCTTGGGTAGCACTTTTAAGATCTTGACCATTCACAGCAAGAATTTGATCTCCTTTCATCAGCTTACCGCAAGCTTCTGCAGTGCCACCGTGTACCTTCAAAAGGGGAACGTTGATTAATACAAAGGTTTTGTTTTATGAAATATATGCATTTAGTTAAAAAGATTGTACCACATCAGAAATGAAGACACCATGACCATTCCTTCTTCCAACAATACTAAGGCCAAGACCTTTCCCAGGCTTTTTGGTAAGTTCTACTTCCATTATATCAAAGATATCTTCTTCTTTAGCTGATGCTTCATCCCTGTACACTACCATTTTTACCTAAAATATATAAGAGAAGTTCAAGAGATGCACATGTAATGCCAACATCTTTTCCTTTTTTCCTTAACAAGTACTTTACCTTAGCAGGTGTTTGTCTTAAAGCAGCCAAGGCTTTGCTATGAGTGATGTTCCGAAAATCTTCTGAATTAACTTCAAGAATCTGATCACCTGGCTTAAGGCGCCCATCTTTAGCAGCAGCCCCATCCGGGTAAACTTCATGTATTATTATCACACTCTGTAAACACACAACTTACTTTAATCACTTGTACATGAAATGAAACTTCACCTTCTATATGTATTCAGGAAAGAAAGAAAAGAATTGAATGGCACTACAGAGTGACACAGACTTTCTCGTGCTAGTTTCTTTTAGCTAGTAGCTAATTTCTTTAGTCTGGGCTGGCTTTTCGGTCTTGTCACCTACTCTAGACATCCACCATCTATCGCTGCCCAAATTATATTTTTTTGAAAATTTCTCAATTTTTTGGTTTCCTTATAATAGAACAGAATAATTACTTTAAAAATCTTAAAAAGACTAAATTTCTATCTACAAGAAAATTTTTGTTCAAAAATTTGTAGCTGGTTTTAAGAAAATGGAGTTAAGCCATTACTAAAAATACGAAGCTTTTTCTCACAGAAAACTTTTCAGTTTCAGAAAAATTTCATTTGAAGTAATTTGAAGCACTTCCATTCACAAATGCAATAATTTTTGCAAATCACATTTTTACAAATTCCTGTGATTTGCAAAAATTATTGCATTTGTGAATGGAAGTGCTTGAAATTACTTCAAATGAAATTTTTCTGAAACTGATATAAATTTATATAATTATATATAATTATATAATTTTTTTGCCATTTTTGAGAAAATGGCATTTGACTGTTTCTGAAAATGTGGAATTTTGAGTTCATTTTCACAGAAAAGTTTTGAGTTGTTGAGAAACTTTATATGACATGATTTAGAGCACATGCACTGACAAATGCAATAATGAGAACAAATCGCCTCTAATGTAAATATTAACGATGCGAGAGAGAAATCCAAAAATTTGCATGTTAGTAATTTTTGAAAATAAACAAACAAAAAAACCAGCAATATGGCGATTATGTCATTTTATAGAGTGTATTTACCGCTAGTTCCACCAAAGTTTAAAGAAAAATATTTGGAGTAGTTTTTCAAAAAAAATCTTTATTTTTTAATATTGCACATACTGCACGCAGAACTGCGTGAAAACTACTAAATTTTTCAAAAAATGTGCATGACAATGAGAGAACTAAGTGGAGAGAAATAATTTTACTTGAAGGAAAAATCTCCATCTTTAATTTTGTAGTTGTAGGAAGACACTAAAATAATTTTGATCTTTTGCAATTTTAAAAAAGTAAAGTGTTAACAGTGAAAATCAGACCTATGCTACCTTTAAAAGTAGATTTCACTCTATTCTTGCAAGAAATTGAAAGAAAAAATTTGAAGCCATTTTAGGAAAAATTTTGAAAACATCCCAGGGGCATCATGCAAAGTAATATAAAAAAATGAATTAATGTTTTTCAAAATCACAGAGCTTGACACGAGGCCTGATCGACAAGTGTATATTACGTTTGGGAAAAATCCTAAGTATAGTTTAGGCGCTAGTGTTGTTCACAGATGACAGACACTTTGAAGAAAAAAAGTAAATCCCTTTTCTGATATCACAGGAAACCAAAACGTATATTTTCGTTGAAGTCTACAAATCTATTTTCTGTAGCATTACATAACTCTCTTCACTACATACATTGCTCAATATATATATACCTATATGAGAAAGTAAAAGAGGATAGAAAAAATAAAATAAAAATATATAGATACATAGATTTCAAGATATTTTCAACTAATTTTTTTACATAGGAAATTATAGGAAACATATTTACCAGTAAAGTGTCAGATCCTCCAACAATACTTAATCCAAGACCCATTTTATCTTTATTGATTTCTATAGTCGTCTCCTTTCCTGCAGTGATTTCACAGGTGACAGGATCAACAGGTGGCTCTTCTGGTGTTGTTGCATGTTTCCCAGATGGAGTAGGTGATAGTCGTAACGTTGAAGAAGGAGAGATACTAGGAGATACGAGGGCCGGTGAGGAGGCAGCAGAAGGACTCCGGGTAGTTCCGGGAGTTCCCGGAGATTTGGATGTTCCCATTCCAGGTGATAGGGTTTCCATCATAGGTGAACCAGCATTGGGTGGCAAAGAAGGTGATACGATGTTGGATTTCGATGGTGAAGTTTTTTGTGGTTTCAAAGACGTAATGAATGGTTTTGGAAGTAATCCTGGAAATCCAGATAAATGTATTAAGAACATTCTTTAATGCTCTTCCTCTCCCCTCTTTAAACTACAAAATATGAATAATATTTTCCCATTAAAAAATAGTTAACAAAAAAATTTAGAATTGTTACTTTTATTTTTTATTAAAATGAGTAAATAAAAAGAAATATTAATTTTTTCTTGAACAATTTAAATATTTTGCAAGTGGCAAGAAAAGTATCTACATATGGCCACTAGAAAAAAAAGAAGAAAAAGAAAATATCCAGCCCAAATTGCTGAGTAACAAGCTTTTTTGAATTCTCTTTGATTAAATTTACAAGCTAGAAGCATTTTTGCACAGCATTAAGGAAAAAATATCACCTTGGTGCAGATTTTGCAACAAAACTGCACCATTTTGCTTTAAAACTGTTATGACAAGAAATAATTAAAGCAGCACAACATATGCAAGAAATAAAGGAAGTTAAGTGAGTAATGTACATCTTGTGTTCGTTGCTGTACAATGCATGTGTCCATTTTCACCTTAAATAATTTGTAAGCACAATGCATATCGCTAGAATATTAATAAAAATTTGTGATTAGTGAAGATTGTGCATTGAAATATCCTTTTCTGAAAGGAACAGAGAGGAACAGGGCAGACATGAATGATCAAGGAATGGAATACATATAAACAGGAGACAGGGATCACAAATGGGCAGGGCAAATGCAAATAAGTACTCACATGGCCATGCACATTATGTCAATCCGCCAGAATGTCGTCATGGCAAAGCAAGACAGAAATAACAACAATACCATTAATAAAAAATATTTTCAAACACTGCCAACCATCAGACAGGCATGTATATGTACACTGTAGTTTGCGTAGAG